CGACTTTCTGATTCTTCCGTGGTACGCTGAGGAGCTGCTCAGCGTATTTCCAGGGTGCTCTTAATTTTTCCGCATTCGCTAATGCTGGACGGATAGCATCGCATCCGCATACTGCTCTTTTAGTGGTGGCCGTTGCATATATAGTGTCTTTTTTGTCGTACTCTTCTTCCAAATCCTCAAACTGCGTTTCCTTTGTTCTTTTGGCTTCCTCAAGGACTCTTTCAGCTCGTACTTTTACTTACTTTTCTTTTGAATTTCCATGCTTACGGCTTTGGTCTGGTGCTCAACAATCAGTGACATTCACACATGCTTACGTAATAAATAGTAAATAAATAAATTGCGTGGAATTTCACACCAGTCTGCCTGCATTATCCATAATGGTGTTACGATAGTGATGGTATTCAAAAGACCTCCCAAAAATACGTACGAAAGAAAGCTAAAAGCTTATTAAACTTATAAATACGTAATGACAAGCAAAATGAAAAAAGACATGATTCGTATGCGACAGCGTGTGGCTGGATATGTGGGTCCCGCAACGAAAACCCACAAAATGTCCACATATGAGATTTGTGCATCGCCGAGTATGCACGCACGCAATACCGCCAATGACACATGTGTGACATGCGCCGAAATCGGCGCGGGCGTCAATGTGTTAATGGAAAATGTTCAAAGAGAGCTCAAAATCGATGTGCATACCCGGCGATGCACAAATGCCAGATGTGGAGTTTCGACGTGCATACCCGGCGATGCACGCGGGCTGCAATGTGCTAATCACCGTTGCAGTGTGAATTTGTTGGCCCAGCCTTGGTTGGTCCCATACCAGAATACTATTTTGATGTGTCGCTGCACAGCACCTCCACCGAATAATAACTCATAGGAGAATTTGCTTGAACTACTACTTTGACGTCTTTGACTCAAATCTTTGAAAAAAAAACAAGGGAGCCAATTTGTGTAGGAACGTGTAACGTGAACGTGTGTGTAGAAACTTGGTAGCAGTACAGGAAACAGAATGAAATGGGCTTGCCAGTATGCAACAATAGGACAATGGGAAGACAAACTCTTCAGAAAGATATCTATTATACTATGACCCATCGAAACCCGCATTACGTTCTGATTTGTCCTCGTTGTGAAATTACGGCCACAATGGTTTAATAAATAAGTGAATAAATGAATAAGGTGTCAAATTTGAATCCATGCGATGTTCATGGATGTGCAAATCTTTTTTCTGGACTAACAACATGCAAGAATGATAATAGAAATGAGCAAAACTTTTTGGCGAGAAGACATTTTAAACATTCCAAATTAATCTAGGGATACACGAAAGAAGGAAGAACCATGAGAAACGGCCCAGAACCCGAGAAATGGGACCCCTTCCTTGCCCGTTGATTTGAGCATTGATGCGACTCTCATCGCTGTGCCCTCTTCAACACTACGCTCTCTCAGCTATCTAATCACTCGCCACGTATTGAACTACGGCGAGTGATCAGATGATCGGTGGGCGGAGATCGCCGGACCCGCCAGCTTTGAGGCATGATAGGTCGCCGAGGTCAAATTTTTCCATGCGAATTGCGCGTCAGTTCGCACCTCAGGAGGTCCGTGGGTCCCTCAACTAGGTCAGTTTCCCTTTCTTCGACCTTCATTCTAATCGTGAAATTCCTCCTTTAAGAACAACACATGAGTTAGCGTTGAAATCCACATTTAAGTAGTGTGCTCAAGTGGTAGCATTATTTGTGCACATTCCTCACTTTGTTGAGGCAGCTCGCGTTAGAGGGCCTGCCATAAGAGGCGAATCGCTCCATCCATTTGTTACTGTATGTGCATGAGTGATTTCAGCTTCGAGTTATCACAATTTACTCAATCACAAGGAATTTTTTGCTTCAACAACAAGTTTTACAAGCAAAAACGAGGCCTAGCCATGGGTAATCGCATAGCACCGGTGTTAGCAGTCATCTTTCTGGACCACATATTGAAATCTCCATTAAAGGCAAAGTTCGGGCTCAGACCCACCTAAGAAGCCCTTACCATGGCTAGAAGTGCTGGGTACGCAAGTGCAAAGGTAGCGCCACCTTTCTACATCGAAACGCGTCACTAGGACCCTAGGCGCCATGGACTTCTAACAGACTCCACCAAACTTAACATGGTCCGCCCACCGTTCGATATCTTGTCTGCGTCGCCACGTTGATCTGCTATGCTCTCTCTTCTCGGACTTCTCTATGTCCTCGTGCCAATAGTCGATTCCGTTACCTGGCTCTAATGTCCCTACTCACAAGTTATAGTTAGTTATGTGGGGTGGGACGGGGACATTGTTGGTGGGTGATGGAAAGTGGTTACAACTGATAAGGGCTGATAAGGGGCGTCAGAACGCAAAAGTCGTCGATTCCGTTACGTAGCTTGCGCTTGACACTAGAGCGTCCATACTTACAAGTGTTATATGACAAGTATCTCTCATCTCCCTGCCTGTCTTTTGAACTTCTCCACAGCATAGAGCAAAATGCTCGTATTTCCTGTGTATTTCAGGATTTTCTTTCCTTTTTTCTCCACTTCCACCTCCATCCCTACTTTCACATTTGAGTGGAATCACCCCATCAATTTGATCCTGATTCATGCCTTTAACAAGTGGAGTTTTGTTTTACAGATATTATACTGCTGACGTGACGGAAGAAGATCGTGTGGAAACGCTAGACACTAAACATAAAAAAACCTTGGAACTTCGCAAATGTGAAGCTGCATGAAGAAAAGTTTGTGTTACCTGTTACACTGCCTGTGGCTGGCGCAGCTGCCAGGCACAGGCGAAACTACATATTATAATAGGGCAGTATTTGCAGATTGTCAAAACACCTGGAAACTCCGACACATACGCCCACCAAGGGCTGCCATCGACAACACTTTTCTACAATGCACCTCAGCCGCCGTCTGCAAAACCGACCCTGCAAAAACAGAACTTAATTGTGTTTTGACTAT